GCAATGACTGAGTCCTGGCCTCGGAGATGCGCATTGTGCCTGTTGCTATCACGTGCCCAAGGAACTCCACCTCCCGCACACCGAAACAGCATTTGTCGGGGTTCAGCAGTACACCAGCCGACCTGAGTTTACTGAGCACCTCCCGCAACCGGCTGTTGTGCTCCGTCCAGCTGCGTCCCCATACCAGCACGTCGTCTAAGTAGCATAGCGCAGCCGTCCATTTGAGTTCGCCCAGAATCGCTGACATCAGACGCTGAAAGGTCGCCGGGGCTCCCGACAGGCCAAACGGGGTGCCCTGACCAGTCCATTCATACTGGCCATCCGGCGTGACGAAGGCAGTCTTGGCCGCATCCTCACGACGCATGGGCATTTGATAGTAGCCGGATTTCAAGTCAACCGTGGAGAAGAACTGCGCTTCAGTCAACTGATCCACCAAGTCGTCTATCAGAGGCAGTCGGTGATGCTGGGGATGACTGTCTGCGTTTAGCCTTCGGTAGTCCATTGCCAGTCTCAGTCGGCCATTCTTGCGCCGAGCAGCCACTATTGGAGCAGCCCATGGCGAAGTAGACTCCCGGATCAGTCCCTGTTGAATGAGGTACTCGACTTCGTCCCGCACCTCCTTCCGTGCGTCCGGTGCCATCCTACGAGGTCTTGACCACTGCGGTGCTGTATCACTCTTGAGGTGGATTTCATGCTGGATGCCAGTTCTTGCCGTCGGTAGCTGAACGCCTTCCGCCCAGAACACATCGCCATACCCGTTGACCAGCTCCTGAATCTCCTGCTTCTTGCTGTCCTGTAGGCTTTCATCCAGCTTGTACCCCGTTACCTGCCGCCTCGGGTCATCACTCTTCGCCGGGTTCTGCAGCGACACTTCGAATTCAGCACGTGCTATTCCCACCACCTTTCCTTTGTGCAGTACTGCTTCACTGTTCCCTGCATTCACCATGCGTACCGTGGCCTCGAATGCCGTGGGACGCAGCAGACAGCACATTGCTCTAACTGTGTCGTTGTTGCTTGCCATGGTTGGCTCGAGGAGGTATTCTGCACTGGGCGTCCGACCGCTGAATGTGCATGGGATCAATGCCTCCTCGCCCGGTTTAACCTTGATCGTGTCCTGCACCATGACCCTACACACTCCTGTTGGCCGGTGTGCTCGGTCCAGAGGACGGGAGTTGCGATATACTGTTTCCAGTTTCAGGTGGTGTCCCTGCGTGATCAGCGTGCTGTTTGGCCAGTCCCAGGTTTGCTTTCCCAGCCGACTCAGGAAGTCTGCGCCCCCTATCATGGGCACCACCAGGTCTGTCACTACGTGAAACGGGTGGCTGGTGACAATGACCCTACCCATCCGAACCGTCATCCGTAGCACACCCTCCATCTTGACCACATTGCCGGACGCAGCTCTTGGGTTCGACTGTGATGTTGGCTGTATATGCTGCTTCTGGTGTTCGCTGAGGTGTGCCCTGCTGATTAAGCTGATGTCTGCACCCGTGTCCAGGAGCATGCTCACCTCTTGACCCCCCATCTGCGCACGCACAAAGGGACTCCGTCGCAATCCCTGCACCCACTGGGTCTTCGGCTCAGTCTGCAAATATTGCCCTCTGTTACCGCTGCCCTGCAGGCTGGGCCGGTGCGGCTTTACCGAAAACCCTTCCGGCTCATACGCTGCTCGGCTTGTGCCCGTGGCCTCCAGGTTGGTGACTCCCTCTTCCTCAACGGGCAGTCCCGCCAGCCTCCTCGGTGATTCTGTGACCCACAGTACCAGCATTTCCAATTGCCCGGTCCTGGTCGTCTCCCCGTCTGTGGAGTTCGAGTGGCATCTGTGCGCAGTGCAGCGACTTGTTCTCTCAACTCTGTGACCTGGGTCCTTAGCTCATTCACCACAGGGTCTGTCTGCAGGATGTTTGCGCTCGGCTGTGAGATCCTACTGTCCTCGGCTGCCCGCCAACGCGACTCGAGCCTAGTCGCGTCGGACAGCACTTCCTCGTACGCCTTGGCCGTGCTCGTCTCCTCCTTGATGAATCCAAACACCTATAGTTCCTCCTTTAGCCGTTGGTTCCGCACACTGCGCACGAACTTTGATAGTACTCTCTCCCGCCGAGCCTCGTCCGAGAGGTTCGGGAATGCAGTGCCAGCCAGCTGTTGTAGACGACTGAGGAAAGCTGGAGTCGTTTCTCTCCCTTCCTGGAACGATTCTTCGAAATCGTTAATGTAGGCCACCCTGGCCTTAGTGTGGCCATACCGTGACTCCAGCAGCTTCATGACTTCCTCATCATCCTTAAGAGCATCTTTGTTCTCGTCCTGGCTCAGCCACAACAGCGGTTCCCCCTGGAGCTGTTGCATAATCATTCGAGCCCGGAACTCCTTATCCTCCGCCCATAGTTTGGCCTCTCCTGACACGTCCTTTAGCTTGTCGTTGAGAGCCTTTGTATTCCCGTATGCAGCGACGAACACTCTCCACTCGCTCAGTGTTGTGGATGCTCCAAACTCGTGCTTGAACTTCGCTGCCATCCTCTTCCTTGCGTTGAATCTAGCCGCTGCCACCAGTGAGACGATGCATATAGTGTAAAGTATGATACTGATTGTGTCAAGTGTCACGTAGGAGGTGTGTATAGCACACCGCTCACACATATGAGCGTGAGTGGGTGGTAGATCACATTGTGTCCCCTTCTACTGTGGTAATTCACAATGAGGCTGCTGGTGGTGAGAAAGTGGTGAATGTTGAACTGCTGAAGCCTGATGTTGGTGCTGAGGTGTTTACTGATGTGCCTGCTGCAGATGCTGTTGCTGATGTGCCTGCTGCAGATGCTGTTGCTGATGTGCCTGCTGCAGATGCTGTTGCTGATGTGCCTGCTGCAGATGCTGTTGCTGATGTGCCTGCTGCAGATGCTGTTGCTGATGTGCCTGCTGCAGATGCTGTTGCTGATGTGCCTGCTGCAGATGCTGTTGCTGATGTGCCTGCTGCAGATGCTGTTGCTGATGTGCCTGCTGCAGATGCTGTTGCTGATGTGCCTGCTGCAGATGCTGTTGCTGATGTGCCTGCTGCAGATGCTGTTGCTGATGTGCCTCCTGCAGATGCTGTTGCTGATGTGCCTGCTGCAGATGCTGTTGCTGATGTTCCACCTGCAGATGCTGTTGCTGATGTGCCTCCTGCAGATGCTGTTGTTGATGTGCCTGCTGCAGATGCTATTGCTGATGTGCCTGCTGTTATTGATGTGCCAGCTGCGCTTACTGTCCCTGATGCTGGGTCTCGGTCCGATCCCCGAGATCCTAATTATGTGCCGCTTCTAGCCCCTGCCGATGATCCTTCTCCGTATCAGTTTCGCCCATCTGGCCTTCGTCAGCGTGGTTCGCTTGTACCCCCTCAGCGCTTCCGTTAGTTTTGCTTTGTTGCGCTTTTTAGTATTTTGTTTGGCATACCACCAGGGGGAGAGGTGAAGTAGAGTAACCCTCTTCTATACAAGACAGGTATTTCTATGTATGTCAACACTAAAAACAGGCTTATGTGTGATTTGATGGGCCCAAAATTGCGGCTTCTATTCGAGGGCGGCTTCTATTCAAGTGCGCCCTTTAATACAAAACTTTACGGTATTTAAATTTCAGTGTCCATAGAGTTTGGGGTGTTAGTCCCACATGTCTCCGACAAAGCATTCTTGAGATATTTCCGTTTGAAAAATTGAGTTTCGGGTGCGGCACCATGACATCATGCGGCCCCGACAGTCGATACACCCCCTCTGCAACGCCATAGAGTGGAGCTAAGTCAAAAGAAGTGCGTGAAAGCAATAGTGGCAATGCTATTTCAAATGATTTGGCGACCGATAGTAGGTGGTGCAAGCGACCCTGACGACGTAACTCCATGTGAGAGTGAGGATGCAGCCATGGCCGACCGTCATGAGTTCTGCCTGGGGCTGAGAATTTCAGTATTCTGCAGAATAAATGGCCGCGCGGGCCGGTCAAGAGTGAGAACTGCCGCGTTTGCGATTGATGAAGCTTCAGCTATTGCAGATGGGGCTGATATAATTATCAGATCTCTGGAGAGCAGAGTCGTCAAAATGTAGGAGGGTAATGCGAGGGCTCTGATTGGTGTTCAATGCTGACTCGCGTGGACTCAAGCGGCCTGCCGCATAGCGATTTTTGGTGCAAACTAGCACTTGGCGTATTTCAAACGGTTCTCGATTGACGAACAGTGCAGGCTTTTTGAACCACTGGCATGACTTTTCGATTCAAGGCTCACAACATTACAGGATCTGAAAGCTTTAGGACCGGGAACTGTCCATTGTTTTGTCACTTGTCACGGCTGTGGAATAATCGTTGTAGCATAAATGAGGCTGGACTATTCCATGCGGAACATATCAAGATTTGTCGAGCTGAAAATTGCAGGGAACGTAGTGTTTGTAACGCTGAGTCGAATGGTCTTGGTCGGAAGAATCTGCGACAAACGGGTCCCCAATCGAACGCGTTGCGAACCTTTTGTACACATATAGGTGGTGCGGCTTTGTTGCCGAGTACCTCAATGGCAGTCTCCACCATGACCCTGTTGAACCCTACAGTATGGTACAAGGCATTCACAATTGCTTGAAATGTGGCCTTCTGCTGCACTGCTCCTGCAGCTGAGGTGAGCATATTCCTCAGAGATTAAAGCAGACACTCTCCCAATAGCACTTGACAAAAGGCTGAAGAAGACTCGTTCAATTCAGGATATTTATTTTCAAGCGATCCAAGTCTCCAGGTAGCAGGTGATGGTGGCTACCTAGCAACTTGAAGTACGCCGTTACGTCTTTCCTTTCTCACCACGAAGATAATTGTATGGGTTAAGTAAGACATTGGTATCGGGGCAGACATTGGTATCAAGGAAATGATGAAAACACTAGTGCAAGGGCAGGGTTCCCTGCTTCTAGTCCTGGCGATGCCAGTAAGCTCTCTGAAGCTTGGGATAATGATATTGTCATGATTGTTGCGGTTTTCTTTCTTCGTTCTTTGTTTTCATTTTGTCACATGACCAGAATTGCTCTCCAGTGTTGATATTGAGCGACCGGAATCCGTCAAGGTCACAGCTGTCAGAGCAGACCCACCTGTAACCATGCCAACTAAGGAAGAAACAACAGCAGCAGCTGCGTCAGCAGGATTTGCAGTGTATCCATCCAACCCGACTGCAACAAAACCATTGCCACTTGGACAGCAATTAGCACCACTGTCTCCACCAATGAAAAGCAGAACTGCAGCAGCAAGAGGAGGGCCTGGAGGAGGAGAAGCAGTAGTAGTAGCACCACCATCAGTAGCAGCACCAGCAGTAGCAGCAACACCAGCAGTAGCAGCACGAGCAGTAGCAGCAACACCAGCAGTAGCAGCAACACCAGCAGTAGCAGCACCAGCAGTAGCAGCACCAGCAGTAGCAGCACCAGCAGTAGCAGCAACAGCAGTAGCAGCACCAGCAGTAGCTGCACCAGCAGCACCAGCAGCAGTAGCAGCAGCAGCAACAGCAGCAGTAGCACCAATATCAGCAACAGCATCATGGGCACCTCGAGCAACAGCAAAGCTGGAACCAGGAACAACCGAAACCAAATCAACTATGCCAGCACTTCGTGCTTATTCAGGTGAGTTTTGCCTTGTTGACATTCGAAGGGGTGCCTCGTGATGAGTTAGGTTGGCTATAGCAATAGCTGCTGCATGTCATACTGTACGGATAGTAAGACCGTCTACAGGTCACCCCAGCCATCCGTACAGGTTCCTTCGTCCCGTTTCATCAGCTTTATGGTGAATGAGAAGTAGACTTGAATGATTTCCCAATTGGTATACACTGAGGTGTCATGGCACCAGCCATTCATCATGGCAGCATTCTTAATCAATGGATTTTGATGTATGAGTGTTTGCACGCTCATGCAGATGCATGCACCCTGAAATCACATTTTCCTTTTGTGGATGCGGTTTCTCCTCTTCTTGCCCCGCTCCTCTTTCCGTTCGCTTATATATTCACCCTCCTCCTCATATCCACTGGCGTGGAGCCCCTCATTGTAGAGAGGGGCGGCCCGATTAAACCATCAGCGCAACATCACGTGGTTGAACCCTTCGTTCAGCAAAAACGTACCACAAATGTGACGGGAAAATTCCTATGTCTCATTGATAAACACTTCCCGAAAGGCTCACCACTCAACAAAGTAATTAACAGCACGGCTGTCAAGAAGCGGCAACTTAGGAAGATGGCGTCGGTTCGAGATGGCATGGTAACCGCGCACGAGCCGTGGTCCGTGACTTGCTCATGTATGCACGCAAATGCAAGTCACAAACTCACAAATATAGTCTTTGCATTTGGAGAAAATATCTTCTACTCTTGTTCGAGGCTGGTGAGGTTTGCCTAATCTTTACCTGATTGCGATGCCGGTATTTTTGTCAATAATTAGAACAAAGAGAGCTGATGATCGCTTCATTCCTGAGCAGAAGTAACAATCAACTCTCCTCAGGTCCTCAGTGCCAAAGGCAGACGACTGCAATTCCACAACGCTCATTTCACGATGATGGAAACAATAATCGTGTACACACTTGGACCATTCGGTCATCCCTATTCTAGCCGCTAGTCTGCCCATCAAGCAGATGTTGACTATTACGATAAAGACAATTGCGTGAACGAGGGCTCACCCAGTAAATACAATTCAAGTCGTGACTCCAGTCAAGAATTAGGGTCTTACTCGAGAACTTCACAAATACAGGCCTAGGCACCCCACAAAACCGATGGATGCCTCGATGGCACGAATGAAAGACAAATAGACTAGACGCAGTGTCCCAAGTGACTGAAAACAGCAGATCTACCGAATAAGACAGCTACAGGTGCCTAAACAACGATTCCAATACAGTAGAGAGTAGTATCAGGCAGAATGAAAGCCTTGGAAGTCCACCTCCTTGAAGGGTGAAAGTTACCAGTTATCCTTTAACGATGTCCGTTTATGCCTGATGGAATCCCCACAGCCCGCACGAAATACCTTTCAAATAATTCCAGGATGCAATTGCAGCTCCACAAAGAAGGAAGAAGAACACTGTGGAAAATAACGGCAACAATGCCCAAAGGGCTCTCAGGAAACGGCTGAACTCTTCCTGAAGATGTTAACATTGAATAGCCATCGATTACCAGCGTGGTTTGGTGACTTTAGAACTGTTTTGAGACTTAGAACGAAGCGATATAGCAAATTTGATGGTATTGTTACCTGTCAAATGCGTGTGTGAGCAGGCCAGCTGACAGGTTATGCATGAGCATGCATTGATTTTGAATGGTTCACGTGCAGAAAACTAAGTTGCCGCGATCCAAGTGCAGCTAACAGCCGTGACAGGAACACAGTAAAGGTAAAGTTACAGCTGAATGCAAAACGTCCGAAGCATTATCAATGCCAACAACAAAATTAATACATTCTCACAGGAACTACAAATCAGCGCCAACACCCTGCCAAGACTGTAACTGTCCTAGCGCCACACAGTGCCCTCTTGATGGTGGTTGCCTGTAGAGATCAATAGTGTACAAAGCAACAGTAAATGATGACAGTTTGCTTACTTCCTCCGCGTCATTAAAATTGTCGCTTCCCAGAGCGATTTTTCGAATTTATTTTGTCCACTCGAAGGGCAAAGAAATCAGCTAGAAATTGAGGAAGAGCATTGTCGACGGACCAAGCTTTAGTTTTTGGCCCCCCGCTTCGGTGCACTTGCAGCTAAGGTCAACGTCTTCATCAGTGTTTGAGGCAGACCCTTCAGCACTCAACAATACGCTGAACAAGATGCGCGGTGAAATTCAGGTCAAGAAACTTCGTTTTCAAGCGATCCATGCCTCCAGGTGGCAGGCGATGAAGGCAAGCTAGCATTTTTCAAGTACACTGTAACGACCTTCCAGCGGGATAGGGTAAGCAGTTTCGCACCTTCTTTCCTTGGCAAGCGCTTCGCTGATTTTGTTGGTGTTTTCAGACCTGCTACCTTCGCATCAACATGCGCAAAAAGTAGCGCATTTTAGGAATTTGAGACCGCTTTTTTCTTGCCATCGCCAACTTCAGCATTTCGTATTCAGGAGAGATACCAGGATTCTTATACCCGAGCTTCCAGTCTTGATAAATGCCCACGTGAACGATGTGGGACGGCACGAACTCCAGAAAACGAAATGCGCTCTGAGGCGGAATAGTGCGGAGCGCGATGAATTTGCTTGGTGCGGAAGAGAGCTCTGACAAAGTTTGAGACCATCATGGCTTCAGTGACAAGTAGACATTGCGCAGGAAGGGTCGCACCAGTGTTCGAACACAGAAAAAAGCGATTCCTACAGTCTGACTAAGACGAGCCAAGTCTCAAATATTGCAATGTGCGAAGCGACAATTTCAATGACGCTGAAGAAGTACTTGAATTATTTCTTGAGCATGCAGATAGTAGAGCACCTCTCCTAGCACTGAGGACATGTCCGCCATCATCCTTTTTTGGGTTTTGTTGAAATAAACAATTTTGAATTTTTCCACTCCACCATGCTGAAATACGTCCAAACTCATACCTGCGCAGGAAAGCTCGCCCCTCCGCGACGTCTAGTCAGCAATTTCTACTCCAACACCACTCCTAACGCTGCAGAACAAAGTGAATTGTTGACTCTGACAAGGAAAAGCAGCGGTGATCACTTGTCACTCCAAACAACAAACTTCTCCTTGCACCACCAACATGTATTGGTGCAACATTTGATGCAAAAGTGACTGGATTTTTGCGTGTAGTTTTTGAATTGCATTGAGTCAACTGATCATGAGCCACGGCTTTACGCCTCACGATGAGTTATGTTGGCTATTGCAATAGCTGCTGCATGGTAGCTAGATGTATGCAGCTAGCTTGCCGTCTCTCTGAAGTCCTTTGGTGAAAAAGAGCGGCATTCGTTCGGAGGTTATCTTTTGTTTATCAGGTCTGGCCTTCTAGCTAGCAGCAGTCATGTCGAGTGGAGATTGTTTTCACTGTGGAGAGTCAGGACATGTTGCCCGTGACTGCCCATCAGGAGGCGGCAGCTCGCGAGGTTGAGGTGGTGGACGCAGCGTGGCCGAGGAGATCGTGATCGGGGGAGGGGGGGGGGGGGGAGGTGGGTGAGTTAGTGAAGCTCTGTCAGCCTCTATGGAACCAAGACTCCGTGTTTTGTTAGCCAGAACAGTGTTCTTGATGTCCGCCAAGCTTGCAACAGTGTTTCTGTTGATGAAATGTGCATGCGGTGGTCTTCAATGGTTCATTTTATTTTATTCTTTACAATTGCACTGTTCCTCTTCTTGCTGTTACTATTGCTAGGACCATTGTGTTATAACTGTGGACAAGTTGGTCACTTTGCCCCCTATTGTGACAAGGAGCACTCAGAGGAGAAGACTTGTTATACCTGTGGAAAGACGGGGCACGTTGCGAGAGACTGCACACAAGCACCAGAGAGTGAGTCTCGTGGTGGCAGCAGAGGTAGGCCACAGTTCAGTTTGAAGTCGCTGTTGAAAACCAGACTTACTGCCAAATGGCAAAAATGAATGCAACTGCGAATCTATTCTTTCGAAAATTTCAACAAAACCGAAAATAATTTCTTGCGGAAAACCACCATGCATAACTAGTGCACATAAGGAAAAATGCAGCTGCGCAAATGGGCAGTGAGGTTATTGAGTAGTGTAGTACTGTTGGAAGTCAAGGACACACATAGGCAGGATTCTGTTGGGAGAAAACTTCACCCCTCCGTCTCAGATTCTCTGGTCTGGAGCCTCATGTCGCTTTTGGCTACTGCAGTGGTGGACATTGAAATCCGTTGAGCAGTCAAGCGGCCACGGAGCGCTGGTCTTGCAGCCGCGAGAAATGCTGGTCCATTCTAGTGTATACGTGAGCTACAGTGCGTTTATGCGCTAAGAGCAGGAAGGATGCCGGCCCGGGTTATCCCATCGGATTTCTATGCCACGACTGTAGTACATCAAGCGAAATGCAGTTTTGCAGATTCAACTCAGCATGGGCCACTCTGTACAGGGCAAAGATCCCCAGCCTTGAGCCAAATTTCCCAGTCCAGCACTAGTGTGCATTTAAAAAGAATAGACCTCTGGTTTCAGAAAACCGTTAGCCAGCATCTACACATGTGATCACCTTGTGCATAACACTGTGCATTTGAAACAATTTAGATTTCATTTGAGCTTTTTGAGAATGTTCTTCTGGATATTGCTCTGGACGCTCCTCAAATTTTACTCATACATTTTTCCAGCATTCGAAACAAACTGTCAATTTCGGACATTTGTATGCACAAAGTGATCACAGATTCTGCGTTGTATAGATGCTGGCCTAACGGTTGTTTGAAACAGGAGGTCTATACTCGATGCTTGATGCTTGATGCTTGATGGTGATGCTCATCCCTGTCTTGTGCACAATACAGTACTGTTTATCCCTGTCCATGCCCATTACACACTCAACGTGAACTTTCTACTGCCCGTGTCGAATATAAAAGCAGATTGGTATGCTTGAGTGGGTAGTAGTGTGTAACCCTACCTTGCAGGGAAATGGACATGCAGCCCTGTCACCCTGGTGTAGATGGACAACACTACAACAATATACGTCTGGAGGTAGCCATATCAGGCTTCGTCTTCAAGCTCTGCGAGTTCTCTACTGCAAGCATGCACGCATGCGCACACTATACAGATGTACATGAATACACCACTACATCTCCCCCTTCAAATAAAAAAAAGAAGAAGAAGAAGTAGAAATCAAAATAAAGGAACAAAGTGAAGAAGGAAAAGCCAATTAATTGAAGAGAAAAAACAAAAAGAAGAAATATTGACTGGTTTGAGGGAAAGAGACAAACGGGAAAAGTCTGAAGAAAAAACTGACTGTCACCACCAGGACTCGAAAAAGAAGAAAAGAAGGAAAAAACCCGATGCGAATGCGCATGCCATGCGCCATTCATTCAAAACTGCAAATCACTGAGAAAAACAAAAACAAAAACAAAACACAACCACACTACATACTACCGACAAGCGGTTGTGAACGAGGAAGAAAACAAAAAAACTTCAGCACATAAAAACGGTAAAATGGTCTCTACGTGTCCATGGACACACTGTCCCACAGCAGCAGCAGTCATCCATAAGCCGCTCTGGCCTTCTCTGTAAGGGTTACCTGACAGCCAGAACGGGTTTTCATGCCATCATGAAATCGCTTGGGAGACTCACTGGCTGGTGAGCTGGTCTGATCCCTGCAGACATCGCTAGGAGAAACTGGACGAGGCGAAAAACACGCGGGTGAGGCGTCAGCAAGTGCACTACGGGTGAGAGGGGCCTCAGCTTCCGTTGACGCTGGCACCAATGGCTCACTACCTGTCGCCGATTGTGGTGCGGCCGGGCTAGTCGGAACCGGAACACTAACAGGAGGCGTGGACAGCGGTGACTTGGGTACGGAGGCAACAAACTCAGGCCAATCAGACGATGCAGCAGCAGGTGAGACCAATTCTCTGACATGTTGGCAGTTACGAAGCATAATTTGTTGTAGCAGTTGCAGGACAGATCCCCGCCACTACTTCAGCAGGGTTTCGCTTCACATCATGCCTGGAACAAGCCATATCGAGGTTGCAAGCTACCCCTCTCAGCAAGAAATTCGAAATTTCAATGGTGGAAGGTATACTACAAACAGAATTTCAAAAGGTATGGTTCGCGGCGCGATCGTTCTACCTATGTCATTCAAACTTTGCAGGATGATTCTGACATACACGGGAGGCATGGAACCACAGGATTTGATGTCATAGCTGACACACAAAGTCACACACACAGCACATTCGTGTGCACAGATACTGAATTAGTTGACGTCGTCATCTTCTTCCCGCTGGTCTCAAAAGTATGATGACATGCCATTTCGCCTGACGAGGTCATCAAGGTGGTCTACAGTTATTATGTAGCTTAATCTAAAACACTTGTGTTTGTTTTGAAAACGTATAACTGAATGAAAAACGTAAAATGTTTGGCACCTATGAAGTCAGGGGATGGCCCATGCCTGTTAAAAAAAATGCAACGGTATATCGTGGCAGATAGTAAAAGATGGTGAAATGATCATAGAGATCAAAGAGAGAAGGAAAACTAATGGGATAGAATAGCAGCCTGGGCAACAGCAATCTCAGCGGAAGAAGTGGGGCTGTATAAGAACACATGCCTAGCACCACGCAGACACATATGACTTGCCCGCAGCAGAGCGAAACACAGGCGACAGCGGAGCATAGCGCTGACTGCAGAATAGCGCTCACCCGACTTTTCGGACAGCAGCGAGGCGATGCGCTTGTACAGGGCATTGGCACGTTTTCCCATACCACCGGTCGTTGAGAGAACGACAGGTACAAATGTCGAGTGCTCGACCTCCCTGATACGCTGCTCATATGCGCGCTTCTTGGCTTTCTCATGCTTGGTGTAGCAAGCAGCAAGTGAGGAGGAACGATTCGACGGCGCAAAGGGGTTAAACACCCTGACATCGAGATAAGTGCGCTCCAATCATCCTCCCGAAATGCCGCTCGCCACAACATCCAGCCGAGCCTGGTCATCTTGGATGGCTGTGCGGTAGCGAAGCTGTTCGCCGCTGAGGGGTTGAAGGTGGGGCTCCGTGGCGACCTGATGTGAGACCCGCTTGAGGACAGTCGCCGTAATGTCACGAACCTCGTTATGCCGAAGTGTAGGGAAACCTCCAAGCGAACACGAGAGTGTGTGGGCAACTGTAAATGCCTGGCCATACTGGCAATGGGAAGGCAGACGTTGTGGTGTCCAGTCGTACCGGAGACATACGGCATCTCGGAACTCCTGCTTCGTCAGGGTGAGGCCATGGGCTTGGAGGGGTCGGCAGGTCAACCAGGCAGATGAACCTTTCTCAGACGCTAGTTCCTTGCTCGCTGCATGGCTGGCTCGACAAGAGAGGAGACCGTGGCCACATCATCCCGGATAGCGTCCCTCACCATCACGCGCACCTGCCGCTTGGCTTGCCGGGTCTGGGCTGTCGCACCTCCCAGTCTGAAGTCCTGGCACAGGATACGATGAATGAGGGGATATGAGACCCGTAGTGATGAGGCATATTGCACTGCTCTCGAGGACGGGTGGGGTAAGCCAAGGCCACCATGGCGACAAGGTAGACCAAGCACACTACGTTCCATGTCATTGACTGGCCTACGAAGCAGGGCAGGCAGAAAGGTGGACGTGATGGTGTGATCAAGGGGCTTTAGGTACTCTGCTATGTCTGGTGTTGTGCGGCACAGGAATGTTCATTTGCACTGGAGGCCATGGACAAGAGCAGCATACGCTGACTGGGGTTGGGAGTCAGCTATCACACTCAGCCGTTCGACTTGCTCCTGCCAGTCTCTCACCTTGCCACTGACGTATGACTCCATGAATGCGGGTGACCCAATTGGGGAGCCAAGGTAGCGGCAACCATCAGACTTGACAACTACGCCAGTGCCCTCGAAGAGCTGTAGAGCTTCGTTGTGGAAGCCACGACCAGGATGCTTTTGCCGGCGTTGGGGTTGTAACCGTATTTAGGGCCCAGTTGCAGCAGTCGAAAAGGTGAAATCCACTCTAGCCAAACAACCAGTAGGACCATTGATTTTGGCATAACTATTGCCAACATGGAACAGAACAGGGTCGAGGGTAACCACAGTGCCGAAAATTAGATTTGTTCAAGACCACCTTCAGCTTGCTCGCCCGTTTTTTTGTCGACTGCTCCGAAACATACATTTTTTCAAATGTTCCCAACTGACTGGCTCCATTGTAAAGTTTTTCGGAGAATGTTTTGACATGGACATCGCGAACATATCACCTTGGTGCACCAATCTAACCGGCGATGGGGGTGTCATGGGGCTTCTTTCATTTTCATTCGGGTAAAAGTCAGTCAAGCTGAGAATTGTTCTCAAGGAAACGTTCGCAAAAATCAGTGCCAGTAAAAGTATCAGAAAACTGTTTGAATCTGGAAAGCAGCCGACTCACGTAGACGGGTTGTGAACGCAAGGAGCTAATCCTATATCGCGCCGTGTTTCATGTGCGTTCCGATGAACTTGTTCCCGTTGACGTTTCACGGCTTGTTTATGGTCTCTACTGTATCTCTATCCCTCCCCCCCCCCCCTATTTTTCTTTCTTCGATCGGTGTCCTTACCGAATTTTCCACTCTCTTCGTCTTGGCAGCGGCATAGGAAGATGTTTTGGTCAGGGGGGGGGGGGGGGGCTGACTTCCAGCCACTGACCCGCTCATAAACTGGTGTATACAATTCGTACATGTAAATGTGTACCGGTGATCCTTCTACGGAGAGTTTATTATTTTGTTCTTCAAGTATTACACTCTACTGTGGGTTGCAGCACGGCTGAAAAAATCCTTCTGCTTCCGAGCCGGACTTGAACCTGACCTGGCATGAGGGAAACATAGATGCAGTGAATGGGATTTTCGTTTTTTTTGACCACTTTGTGGTGGGTCTGATCTACGCACCTCCCACCGTTTAGGAGCTGCATCTGTGCCTTGATCCAAGAGGGTGGTGGCGTTCCTGCGGATGCGGAAGACCCGGCTTTGGCCGAGCCTCACGCGAACCGGGAATTTTTTAAATTTTTTTGTTAAACTCTACATTATGGTACGTTAACTGGACATGTATGTAGCAAGCATGGAAACTGAGTACAATACTCGAATCTGGACAATAATAGTGAAAGTGCTGTGTATGTACATGTTGGTTGAGCACTAAAGATTGCATGCAAAGACCACTGGATATCTAGCTCTGATTGACAGCCCGGGCAAGATCCAAAAGAGGGAATTTTAACTGAATGCGGAGTACATCCGTAATGAAGAAAGACAGTCCGTCAGGCGAAATAGCACGTCATAGTGCATTTGAGATCAGCGGGAAGAAGATGACGACGTCCACTAATTTAGTATCTGTTGACACGAATCTGCTATGTGTGTGACTCTGTGTGTCAGCTATGACATCAACCCGTGTGGTTCCATGCCTAGCATGTACGTCTGAACCATCCTGCAAAGTTTGAATGACGTAGGTTGAGCGATCGCTCCGTGAAACATACTTTTTGAAATTCTCTTCATAGTATATCTCCCACCATTGAAATTTCGAATTTCTTGCTGAGAGGGGTGGCTTGCAACCTCGATATGGCTTGTTCCAGGCATGCTTTGGAGCCATCCTCTGTTGAAGTGGTGGTGGGATCTGCCCTGCAACTGATACAACAACAAATGATTCGATCTGAGAAAGGGTGAGACGCGAATCTCGGTTGAATATTGAGTATTTCAAGCCTTTTGATGACGAAGATGGAGTTCTTTTTGGAGATGGACGTCGCGGCAAAGGACATGGTGTCCGACTTCTGGCGTCTGGTGAAGCCAGGGATCATTTGTCCAGTCAGGTCGGCAGCCTAACCGTCGGTAAGCTTGTGTTTGGATCCCGTTCTGCTCGATGTGGTAGATCACAAACAAGTTGATATCGCAGAAATTGATCTCAGCATCGTGCGTACGGTATTTTATATTCAGAAAATCTCAAAGTGTCTCTGTGTGGCCGTCCTATGCCACGAGAAACTCCAATCAGGCTCCTATGTCCTCTGCCTTCATGATTGAATGTCCACTTTGTTTGAACAACGAACACAACAATCGAGGACGGCTTTGCAATGAAAATACAGCTATACTGGAGCTGAAAAAAAAGAAAAAAACGTGCTCAGGATGAGACTCGAGTACATGCATACTCTCCCAGCAGGTGAAACGCAATTTTCTTGTGAAAAATGCGTGTCGCCGACTGACCAGTAATTTCGCCTGACGCGATCATAGACTAAACCTTACTGGCAATGAAGAGGGGTAAGCAGATGTTCAAGAACTCCCTGATTTCAGCTATTGCAAAAAAAGAATCCCAGACTCATTTCCTGCTAGTGATAAGAACTCTACGAGTAGTGTAGGTTTTTTTACAGTATAAAATCATTTTTGGTATGTTCCGCTGATATCGGATGTTCCACGATGGTGTGGACGACTAATGAGTGGTGATATCTTTTTGGAAATCACTGAATGATGGCTACATGCCTCGCGCTCGGTTTCTTCATGAAACTGTTGAAATAATTATATCACCACCGCCAAAGACTATGGCCAGTCGTACCTTGCAACCTTGGCTCTGCGAGACCTACTTTACGAACCGTTAGTCTCAACATTTTCTTCTGGAAAACTATTTTCTCCAGAACGCCGCACTAGAACAATTGGAAGAACTGAATCTGACCACAGTCACTGAGTACTCCAGACTTTCCGATTTCGAAGGAAACTGCCCGCGATGAAAACACTTCATCAGCAGCTACGAAGTAAAAACGATCAAGGGTGTGGTGACTGTGCTTTACACCGGCGGCACGCACATTTCTTTTAGATTTCACACAGATACTTTCTGGGCCTGTCAAGTCATGTACATGTGTCAGTAAGCCCACTGCATGCGCATGGGCAGATATGACTACGATCGATCTGAGTGCATGACTTGCGCGTACAAACATGTTCACCGAGTTTCGGCCCTACATGCGAGAAAAGGTTTGGGGGGGGGGGGGGCGCCCCCCCCCCCCCATCCTACCTCACTGCTCTATGCTTTAGTCATGTTTTGCGTGTCGGTGTGCACACATACATACCTGACATGTGTGTATGAACTTTTCCCGTTTTGTGAGTGTTACTGTACTCATGTGTGTACTCGTTTGTGCACGTGTGTGTGTGTGTTTGTCTGTGTGTGTGTGTGTTTTGTGTGTGTGTTTGTGTGTGTGTGTGTGTTTGTCTGTGTGTGTGGGGGGGGGGGGGGCCCATGTGCACATGCGTGCGTTGTAGCAGCGAGCCATGGAGAAGAGGAGGGTCATGGAGCAGAAGAGAAGAATGAAACTGCAGTGGAGCATGAGGCATCATCATCAACTGCATCAGTGACAGTACCAGCTCAGAGGTCCATGCCACTCCTTGCAATGGTGGCGGGGCTGAGTCTTCTCATCATTGCTGTCATCAGTGTATACTACATTCGTAGTGCCGACTACGGTTTCAGCTCATCAGGTAAGATCCAGTATCTTTGTACTATATTCTGTAAAGTACCACAATTTGCGAAGCCGGCCCTGCGACAGTGACCGCTCTTCACTGTGATTCAAGCAGCACTGGTTGTAGTCCGCATTCTCTTTCATTATTCCCAGTTTTGGTTCTTGAGTTACAGCATGCATATACGGCGTAGAGGGGATTTTTTTTGGAGGGGGGGGAGCATTGGTTCATTTATATTCTCTTTGGGGGGGGGGGGCAAAGAGCGGGAAAGACACAATAAACTGCGACAGTGCCAGGCAAATCAAGGGGAGGGGTTTATAAAATAGAGTCTTTATTTTTAGTACCGGTTTGCTTCCGCAGTTTTGCCCCTATCAACAAGAGGCAAAATTATCCACTGCCTATCTCCCATATTATCTATTATCCACTGCCTATCTCCCATATTTTCTTGATTCACAACACACAAAAGATACACTACTGCAAGGTATTTTCAATTTTGATATTGATCTCATCAGCGACGGTGCTTGCTGCAGCTGAATCCACTCTAGTGCGATGACAGTGCAGCGACAATTCCTCTCCACGAGAAGCTGCAGTCTTCGATTCAGAGGAGAGTGATTCAGACTAAACGATCTCTCTATTGTCCTTGTTGAGCAATACAAAGTTGTATCTTGATGAGTCTACAATTATTTTCGATTGTGGAGTGTGAGCTTTTTCAAATGATTGGACTAAAACCATGCGCCGAGTTTTGCAGGTCGGAGATCGTAGAGGGAAGATAGTTTTCTGCTTCTTTTTTTGGTGAAACACAGGAGCATGGTGGACTACAAGTAGAAGCTTTAACCTTCTTTTCTGATTTCTTAACTGTCATGTGTGCTTTGGTCCAGTGGATCGTGCTCAGCGCTTACTGAGGATTCGTTACGGCAAGGCCAATGAAATCTACTCGCCGATGTTTGAAGCGTCAACAGCCAGCACTGTTGACAACATCTACATCAACCTTGTCAAGCTGCCGAAGGGGGACCTAAGCGACGAGTTCAAGCACGAATTCCAGTCCAGCTCCGACGACATGTGGCGGATCGAGCATGCCTTCACTAGTGCAGGTCAGAGAATGCAAAGCCTCAACTTAGAGTCTCTTCTCAACAACACCCATCAGGATCAGTCATCGCATCTCACAGGTCAGACTCTCGGCACGATAGTCATGGCTAGTGCTGGGTGCGGGAAGTCGTTTGTTTTTACGAGGGTGGCACCGATCAAATGGGCAGCCGGTGAACTGTGGCCTAACAAGAAGCTGCTTGTTGCAAGAGAGTTGCGTTTCCCAGACGTGCACAAGGCTACATCCCTGAGTAAGCTACTTGGACTAGACGGCATTGGTATCGAAGACAGTTATGGCCAGCAGGAGATCTGTGATCATGTTCGTGAACACCCTGAGAGTCTAGTGCTTATTCTAGATGGTCTTGATGAGGTGAACCTGAAAGACATGAGCAGTTTTGTCTATGATGTACTGTTTGGCAAGGAGCTGCAGGGAATTCATCTCATAGTAACATCTCGACCATGTGCCGACATCTTCCAGTTGTCAGTATTACCTCACTTCCACCAACACATCGAGCTATTGGGATTCAAACAAGATGATGTGGAGAGGTATATCAGTAGCGTACTTAGCCCGGAGAAAGCAGAGACCCTGATCGCAGAAGTCAATCGTTCAGCTTATCTGGGTGGCATGATGGCGACCCCATTCATGGCACAGGAAGTTTGTGTGCAGTACCATTTTGGCTTGGATGCACCGCAGTGCATGACAGACATGTTTGAACAGATGATCATTCAGATTATCAACCGGAAATACAGCCGCTCATACAAGCAATGGAATGAGGTACCAGTTGAGGCACAACTGCTGGTGATGGAAATAGGACAGTTTGCCTTCAATATGCTTGCCGAGAAGCGGATGATCTTCAATGATGCCGATCTCCAAAAGCAATCTCTCACTGAGCGTGCCTTGAAGCTCGGTTTATTGGTGTCAGGAGAGGAGTGTCTATCCAGGAATGTTGTCAAACAGCATCGGTTCAGCCATCTTACCACTCAGGAGTACCTAGCAGCAATCTACCTTGCCAGACACCCCACACGCAACATGATGAACAGTTTCAGGATTATTCAACTGGTGGAAATCCTCGGTGCAGAAACTGCTCACTTGAGGACATTCTGGACCATGCTTTGTGCTCAGCTGAGTACAGCACAAGCCGAATGTCTCGTGAACTCGCTACTAACACGAGAGAGGGTAACGGATTGGGTTGAAGGAAAAGTTGTGCGCCGCCTTCATCGGAACACATCACGTGTTCATAGTGGACACTTCGCTCAGTCACGAAACATTTCTGCATATTTCAAGAGGTCTGATGAGCAGCGACGCAATCTTCAGAGTCTAGCATTTCACTCCTTCGCCGAGCTGGCAATGCAACAGAAAAGGGCTTGTTCTTCACTGCCGTCAATACGCACTCTGCTAGCGTTTAGGCAAGACGTGCGGATATCCACAGGTCACCATCCTGCAGAGATGCGCTCGATCGACATTGTCCTTCGCCATCACCCCCCATGATTTGCAGGAGGTGGCCTTAGCTGTTTGGTTCATGCCCGGAAATAAACATTTCCCGTCATCATTGGCGAACTGCAGTGGGATCCGAGCATTGAAAAATCAGTTGTCATGACAATGTGCATGGTCTTTTTGCTATTTTCACCTCTGCTTTACAGCATTCCGCCAGCATTCTTCGAAAGCTGGAACTGTCAGACACCCCAATATCTCCCTCTTTTAATGCAGCACTCTCATCTTGTCACCAGCTTCGAGTGCTGGGACTCCTGCGTGGCAGTCTGACTACTAGCAACGCCGGTGCTCTGGCCAGTGCATTGTCTAATCTCACAACACTGCAAGAGATAATATTAGATTATAATTATAACCTTTCAAGTGATGATGTGGCTGCAATCACCCGTGCACTTCAGCGTAGTGGTAATCTATCCACTGTTGACTTTACCCACTGTGGCTTGACTGCATCCGTTCTACCAGCCATCACAACAGCTCTACAGCACTGGAAACGCCTGGATAGCTTGGAGCTCAGCGGCAACAACTTCAGTGACACCGATGCACTTGTAGCTTCCCAATTCTTCTCTGCGCTCTCAAAGCTCACAGATTTGAAATGGATTAAGCTTCGTGATTGTAGTTTGCCTGAAAGTACTGGCTCCGCTTTAGCAACTGGGCTAACCAATATTAGCACCCTGCATGTTATAACTCTGTCTGATAATCCCAATCTAGGTGATGAAGTTGTTATAGACATTTTGCATGCACTAAGGCAGTGCAGAGGCATGCATGGGGTCTATCTGGCAAACTGTGGTCTGACAACCGCTTCATTGCCAGCTATTACAGCTGCTCTGCACAGCTGGCCAAACCTCTACACGCTGGAGCTCACCGGCAATGATTTCAGGGATGTTACAGACGACCAGGCCAACAGCTTTATTGCTGCCGCGAAAGCCCATGGGAAACTTCGTGGGCAACCATTTGGCGATCTACTTATGGATTCCACTCAAAATAATGCATTTTTAGCACTGAACTCTGCTACGTTCTTCGACTAACGCTTCCTCACCAGCGTACAATTTAATCATGTCTGTTATCTGCTAGAAACGACTAGACAATGGCAAGACAAGAGCTTTGCAGCCATGGTATTGTTATCCACTGGCTAATTCACGTCAGTTCAAGTCGGTGTATGTTGTCGCCTGTAACGATTAAAGCATTCTGCACGGTTCTGGTTCCCACACATTGGTCTGGCCATTTTCTCAAATTTCTCACATCTGTTATTGCTCCTTCAGTGTTTTTTTTCTTTCTGACATTGAGATTTTGAATTCCTTATTCTCACGATGGCACCATCGCCAATAAGAGATAGGAGATGTGTGTCCAATTGCCAATGGGTGTATGATTCGGTGATCTACCTCGCCTCCTCGCGTATTTATCTGAGCTCTGGTACGAACTGACAAGAAGTAGACTTGTAGGTGTTACTTGACGGTATATGCTCAAGTGCCGAAAAGTTCTTCTTACAAATCGACTAACGTAATTCCGACATTTAAATGATATATTATGACATGGTTTATTAGTCTGGCACACCTATTTGAACAACAATCAACCTACCTTAGTCCTCACATGTTGAATGCATGATGCCCCCGGGACATAACAACAGAGGTGTTGCAAATGACTTCTCAGCGGAAACGCATATGGGCACTAACTATTCAGTGGGCTGTACGTGGGTGTGGTGGGGGGGGGGGGTGGGGGTAATCATGTAACATAATCACGTTTGCATCACCAACCGTATCAATGAAAATGGAACAGGAAGGGAACGAAAGAGAGAGTGTGTGGAGAGGGGGGAGGGGGGGGGGGGGTAGTGGTGGTAATCATCACGCCACACTTGCACCACCATCCGACATGCACGAACTTGTGAATTTTGGTAACACTATGACAGCATACAGCCGTGCTGCGACCCGCAGTTAATTGAGAACTCGTGGCCTGGCACGAGGAAAACATGGATGCAGTGAATGGGATTTTCGGTCTTTGACCACATTCTGGTGAGCTGATCTACTCACCTCCCACCGCTTTAGGAGCTGCATCTGCGCCTTGATCCTTGAAGGGTAGTGGCGTTCCTACAGATGCGGAAAACTCGGCCTCTATATAGAGAAACCGAGTCTGACGCGAACCGTGAAATTTTTATATTTTTATGACATCATTGGATTGGACTATGAGAACATTGGACGTTGGAATCGATTGAAACAAGAACAAACAAGGATATCCTTGGACAGAGACAAGGATGGAAAGGCGTGACGTTGTTGCCCCAGCAACCCGAATGGGTTAATGATGATGATGACGACAGCATTCAGGGTAGCCACCCCAATGCCTGTAGACAGGAGCCTTCTTTTAATCCAAATCCAGGTCGCATACACACTAATCTCCATTATAGTTTTACTGGTGAAAAAGGAGAAGGACAACATGTTGCGAGTTATGACGAACTGTCCACCAACATAACCAGATCTTATACGGTCTGCGAGTGCGACAAAATGGCACAAAACTGACAAGGAGTACTGATACATGTCAGTTTTGTGCCAATTTTTCGCACTCGCTGACTGTATAAGATCTGGTTAGATTGGTGGACAGTTAGTCATAACTCGTAACATGTTGTCCTTCTCCTTTTTCACCTAAATTTAATTGGCTCACCATCCGAGTTGAATAATTTGTACTCACCCCTATTCTCGCCATCACTCGAGTCTCATGCTCATGTTATGGAGATGACACACTAACAAAAAAAACTATTCACGGTTCGCGTTAAACTCGGCTGAAGGCCGAGTTTTCCGCAAGCGTAACGACGGTACCACGCTCTTTGGATCAAGGCGAAGATGCAGTTCCTAAAGTGGTGGGAAGTGAGTAGATCAGACCCACCACAAAGTGGTCAAAGGCCGAAAATCCCATTCGCTGCACCCATGCTTCCCTCGTGCCAGGCCGCGAGTTCCCAATTAACGATAACACGCTAACACAAACGTGATAGTGTAGAATGGATGTGTTATGAACCCTGCCTGAGGCAAATACAGTGCAAAGTTCAAGTTAGGTTTTAGTTGTGTCTGCCAGGGTTCATAACACCTCCATTCTACCTTGAAAAAGGTACCCATCTCCATCTGACCTCATAACATGCATACTAAGAGGTACTGGAATTGGATACACTGACCGTCGCAGTAATCGTATCTACACGGCCGGTATTATCACGCATATACAAACAGAGCATTGGGATTGTATTGTAGGTAGCCAACCGGGCTAACACCACCGAGGGCAGTGCTATGAATGGATTCTAAAATCCCACAGCAAGTCGAAACTGGATATAACTGGATTGCTGGGAGCCAGAATGAGATGGTCTAAGATCATGATTGAGAAACAGAGGGTAGATCTGACAGGCTCAAGGCCTGCATGGAAGCGGAAAGTGTTTTTCCGGCCGTGCTGCAACCTATAGTACTCGTGGCTTGGCACAAGGGAAATATGGAGGTAGCAAATGGGATTTTCGGTGTCTCACTACTTGGTGGTGGGTCTGATCTACTAACATTAGTACTTAGCTTTCACTGCTTTTCAGAAGCTGCATTTGTGTGTTGATCCGTGAGGGTGGTGGCGATCCTATGGATGTGGGAAAAATTAGTCTCTTCAAGTTGCGAACCGTGAATTTTGTTTTGATTGGACAACCAAGAGGAGGCAGGGACCCTCACTTGTAGCCAGCCATCCTCTAAACACTGAGCTATGGTGTTAGATTTTGAAAGGATTGGGGAGAACTTCAAATTCAAAGGATCAGCTGGGGAAGTGAACTAACTGCCTGAAAAGAGAAAAAAAACTCTGGAGTGAAAAACTTGTCAGCGCCTTCTAGGTTCAGCCTGGTCCCATACCTCAGTGGTTAGAGCATTACTCATGACAAGCAAGGACCCGGGTTCGAGTCCTGGTGGGTCTGGCTTTTTTTTTCTCTTTTCAGGCAGTTCACTATCCCGACTGATCCTTTGAATATGGTGTAAGTATTACTACTTCAAGTATGTATTTAAAACGTATTGTTTACTCGACACGTTTAGAAAGTGCCTGCTCCGAAAGTCGGAGCTCGTGCTTCCTGCCCACTGATTTGACAATTGTTTTCCTTTTTTTTTGCTATCAGGTTGGTCATTGTTGTAGGTATATTCACTATCTGCAATGCTACTTATGGCCGTCATCAGGGAAACAGAGGAGTTGGACATCTTCCATTGTTTCTGGTATTGCGGTACCTCCGATTCGTACATGCTATCATCCTGGCTATTGTCATAAGCGTCTTCACTATCCACAACGCTTCTCGTGTCAGTGAACAGGTTGACAGAAGAGTTGCCCACCTTCCACTGATTTTGGTATCGATGGCGGTCTTCGTTGGGTCCTTGAGTGGCGAAGGTGGAGGGCACATTCTTATGATTTGATGAGTTTCGTCGACAGGTAACGAACATGAATAACAGAATCAAACTGAGCACTGAGACCACTATAATCATGGCTCGACTGCTTGGGTGTCCAAGCCAGGTAGTCTCTTTCCCCGCACTAGTTGTTGGAATATCTTATCCGTTGCACGGCAAGAATGCAAATAGAACACACATATGCGCACAGACACACACATGCACACACATGCACACGCGGGGTATGCACACACGCACGCATGCACGCACGCACGTACAGGCACACATAGACACACGCACACATACACATACACACACACGTACACAAACACACACAAACACACACACACACAAAACAACACAAACACACACACGCACACGCACGCACACACACACACACACACACACACACACAAACACACACAAACACGAATAAACACACAGGTGATCGAGAACATAACAAAAGAAGATGCCTGGATATGAGGTTTGAGATGAGATGCGGTTGGAATATGACAGAGAAGATGATGAGATTCTGTCAGCAAAATGCATCCGTGCTACAATACTGTGCTGAACAGTAGAACAATGACATGCATTGGCATATAATGCCGACAGAGTAAAGGCCAGAATTTGGGACCTTTACTGGTAATCCTTGTGCATGTTTGATCATTGAGAAGGGCGCAGAAGAGAAGTAAGCTATAGGCACCACATGACTCCCAAAGTCTAAATCAATCAAATGTTTGAAGACCCCTACGCAGGCAGGTAGGGTTGTTGTGTCACCTCCCCCGTGGACTTGTACTTTGCCGC